CCTATACAAATCGTGATAAGGCTTTAATGGAAGCAGTGAGTAAAAATCTATTTCCTAAAAAATAACAAATTATTAAAAAAATATTTATATTTTAGGGAGTTAGAAGAACCTCCAACTTATTGGCTCCTATTATGCTATTGGAAGGTCATCAGGGTGAAATATTTTGTACCGAGTTTCATCCGGATGGTGAAATGTTGCTATCCTCTGGATTCGACCGGCAGATATGTAAGTAAATTTGCACCTTAAAACAATTTTTTATTTAAATTTCTTAAATTCTAGACATTTGGAATGTTTATGGTGACTGTGAAAATATTTTGGCCATGTCCGGTCATACGGGTGCTGTTTTAGAGGCTCATTTTAATACAGAAGGTTCGCAAATTTTCACTTGTTCCACAGATAAAACTTTGGCCGTATGGGATATAGTAACCGGCAATCGCATTAGACGTTTAAAGGGTCATAATAATTTCGTTAATTCTGTGCATGGTACTCGTCGTGGGCTACAAATGTTATGTTCTGGTTCTGATGATCGCACTATACGTATATGGGATGCACGCAAAAAGCTGTCCGTACACACACTAGAAGCACCCTATCAAGTTACAGCAGTGACCTTTAACGATACGGCCGAACAAGTTATATCAGGCGGTATTGATAATGAATTGAAGGTATGGGATATAAGAAAACAGCAAGTGCTGCACAGTTTAAAGGGTCATACGGATACTATTACCGGCATTTCTCTATCACCCGATGGTTCCTATATCTTATCGAATTCTATGGATAATACTTTACGCATTTGGGATATACGCCCCTATGTGCCGGGTGAGCGTTGTGTTAAGATATTCCAGGGCCATCAACATAATTTTGAGAAAAATCTTTTACGTTGTGCCTGGTCACCGGATGGTAGTAAAATATCGGCCGGTTCAGCTGATCGCTATGTCTACATTTGGGATACTACAAGTCGTAAGATATTGTATAAGTTGCCGGGCCATAATGGCAGTGTCAATGATGTAGATTTTAGTGGCAAAGAACCACTGATTGTATCAGGGTCTAGTGATAAGAATTTGTACTTGGGAGAAATTGAAGATTAGAATAAAAAAAAGGATGTAGAAAATATATAAAACTTCTATTTGTATTATTCCTGGTCGATATCGAATATCATAATCTTAAATGGTAAATTTAATTCTAGTCGTTTACATAATCTGCAGCTTTATAACCAATACAAAAGGTAAGAAGTTTAATTGGTTATTAACCGGCGTTAACTCCGGAACCACTTAAGTTAAACTAGTCAGAACACTCAGTTTTAAAGCAAGTTTTTCTCAACATTTTTACTAACTTTCAACATATTTGGCAAAAAAATACCTAGATATCAGTGATGTAGCTATAAATAATAAGTTGTACTTACAAACTTTTTACTCTATGGCGAATCTCCGTCTGCAGCAGCCCATTTTTCTATATTTCTTTTACACAAATTAAAGACCTGCATAATACAACAAAATTGCGACAATTTGTTAAAAAATATCGTGTACACCCGGAATTTTTTAGCAAATCGCCGCATTATTGTTGTCTTGTGCAGGCCTTTAACACAAATTCACATAATTTCTTTTTCTTTACAATAAACACAACACTTTTTAACTAATTTCTTTAATTTTACAACATTTTTCTTTTGATTTTTTGAAAAAGAACATTAACTTCACAAATCCTTGCAGCAAGTGCAGAAAAGCTTCTTTTTTTCTAAACAAATGGCGGTTCTTTTGTTTATGTTTTTTTTTTGCTTGCAATAATAGAGTTGCCAGTAAAAAAATAAAAATGTAACGGCATGTAATTGTTTGCTTTAAAAAAAGTTGCCAGATGCAAATTTGAAAAGGAAGTACCAAATAATAGCAGATGTATGATATTTTCAGATGTGGGAGTTTAAATAAAAGGAAATTAAAGTAAATTTATAAATAAACGTGAAAATCCTGTGTGTTATGGATTGGGGAACTCATTTACGAATCTAAATGTTTTTTTTTTGTTTTTTTGTTTGCTCTGTTATAATTAATTAGTTATAAAACTGTACATATTAAGTTAAAAACCGGGAACGGCTTACACGATTTTAAAAATATTGTTATGGTATCAAGGTCGTGGATTTATTAACCCATTGTGTGCCTAAAGCTAAGAAAGTGTTTTGAAACACGTTTTTTTTTGCAAAAGTATTAGGGTTTTCTCGATTTTTTCTGTTTTACTATTCAGTCGAATTTTTCCAAAAAATGTTGGATCCAAGGATTATTTTCTTAATTTTTTTATACATTACAGAATTATAGTCATAATCTTTTAAAATGTTAAAAATTAGCAACGTCCATGTTTTATTAAATGTCAAATATTCGAAAAATGCTTTTTTACCACATAACTCGACAAATGACACAGAAAATCGATTTGGATGAAATTTACCAAGGTTAGTACTACATATTGGATATTAGCTCTATCGGTCAAGAACTGGCGGAATTAGAGGGGATCAAAGTTGGACATTTTGGTCATACAGGGTTTTTTCAAATTAGCGTAACTTTTTACCTATTGATCCTAGCAAAAATTGTCCAAGGTAGTTTAGATAGCTATTTCTTTACTGTTTCCAATTTTGTTTTTAATATTTTTTTTAAATGGGATTTTTTTTGCAAATGTTATTACGAATCCTCGGATAAAACTAACTACTTTTTCAGTCCCTCAAGTACAATTTCATAAAATTTTTCTTTTTTATAACGAACTTTAAAATTATGTGTTGAAATCATAAGAAAGTATTAAGCTTCGTTTGAAAAAAGATCTAAATTTGTTAAACAAATATATGAACAAATAACATCACTGGTGTTTTTTTGTAAACAATATTAAATTAATTTTTAATTCATATTCTTTTAATTTAGTAAAATGCCACATTACTTTTAGAACTACAAAATCTTCATCCGTCTTATTACTATATTCTATTGAAAACTTTTTTAAAATCAGATTGGAAAATTAATAAAAAGTATGATTTTTATAAAGTCTTCCATAAAAAAGATAATTCGTGTATAGATTTTTAAGTTCTGTTCTGGATATGACCCTCTGTCTTATTATTGAAAGCTCAATAAGTTCCAAATGGGAGGTTCTAGGGAGATGTAATTTAAAACAAATTTTCTCTATTAACTAGACTTGTTTAGTATTAAAAATGAGCAATATTGGATCAAAAAAACAGAAAAACATTATTCCGTCTGTCCGACTTTTAGATTTATTGAAAACAAATAGCTAGGAATGAAATTTTCTACAAATTGTCTTAACCCATAAAATTTATAAGCCCAATATCCGTCCGGCACGCACTGAATGATTGAAAATAAGTATGAATGAAACTGGAAATAAATAGGTTGACGTTACAAAGTTTTGACTTGAAATATCTAAAAACCAGTGCTCAGATATTTATCTGTAAATATTTTACATGAGATTTGCTCTATTGAAATTTAATTTTAAAATTATGTACATATAGCATTTTGTCAGGTTACTGTTGATTGATTTAAATCGAAAAAGATTCCATGTGGTATTTGTAAGAACCGTTATACTATCCAAATTAATATGAGACATATCATTTCACACTTGAACTTAATTTCTCTTATTGTACCATATATGGAATACATTTAAAGGTTAATTTTTTGTAATTAAAAACTGACAATATCAAAAAGTGTTATTTCCGTTAAAATATTAAGCTGGCAGCTTCTTTTTATGTCCCCAATTGATACCGTTATTCTAAACAGATGACATTTAATTTATACTGGCAACACTTTAACACTCTGAGAAAATGTAAACAGAAAAACCGCCATTTTTGACAGAAAACTTTCAATTTGTCCTAAGAGTTAAAAATTACATGAAATAAGTGATTTTATATTGTAAAGTGTTTAAAAAAGTTTTTAAAATATTAAAAAGTTATAGAAATTAACCATAATATAATAATAACATGGAAATTAATCATAAAGTTTAGTGTGTGGTATAAAATAACAAATTTATATATAACAAAATTATATGAGAAAAGAAAAAAATGTATATGTGCAATTGCTGGGCAGCTGGCCGGAGTTGATAAAAGTTTAAATAATTCAGCAAGTAGGTATGTATAACTGTTTTGTAATATCTTCCATATATGATGTATTCCATGTAGTTAATTGATATTTTTAGAATTTTAAAGTTAATAAGTTTAAAAGTGTTATAAATTGTTTGTTTCCGGGAATTTCTTGCTTATTATGGAAAATTCGGGAAAGGTGGGAAGTTTTTTCCATAATATTGGCTCAGTATAGAGTTATTGTACAATAAACATAAGTCTATATGTAGAAAAGATACAACAAAAAGTGTTTTTTTTAACTAAAAGTTTCTGTCAGGGGAATCCCCAATCCTGGCACAAAGAAACTCAGACTGTATTAACCTAATATGTATCTTAATAATTTTTGGCTGCTAGTCGTGCTGGTGTATAGTTCCTAATATCGAGCGACAGGAAATGGTTGTGATTTTTAGAAATTGACTTTTCTGTGGGAGTAGAAGAGACTTCCTATTGACTAGGCTGCCTTGACATAACATAGGTACATAAGTCAGGCTTTTAATTCCCATTTCAAGCAACCAAATAAAGATAGTATTACTAGAAAATAGAAATTTAGCTGTCCCCACCTCCTGTAAGTTTTTAATCATTTGCTACTCTATCACGGGGAATGTTGCAAACTTTCTATTGACACTGCTATCGCAGTAAGTACTTATTTTGTTCGTATGAGCTGATATTGTTCTGGTATTATTAAATCTAACTAACCATGACCGAAATCTAATGAAAGCACGAGAAATTTTCCATAAATCTCTATTTAGTTGAATTAATTCCTTTTAGGATGTACATATTACCAATCTTCAAATCGATCCCATATAAGAAAGTTCCTATCATAAACATAGATAAACGCAATAGCATTTTATTTGTGCTTTTTTTTATTAAACCATTTTAATTTTGTATAAATTTTATTAATTAAAAGAACAAAATAGGTATTTAAATAAATTCTTATTCCGAACACATTATACAATCTCCTGTGATAATTCTAAACTTTGCGACTGTGTCGAGGTTACGGGTATAATATTTTTAAAATTATCATAACTAGCCGGTATTACATCTTGAGACTGTTGATATGGCAGCTCTTGACTTTGACTGACCATTTGGGAATCGATGCTCATTGACATAGTGTTAATATCGTAAAGATTTTCAATTTCGGGAGCAACTTCTTGAGATTGTAACGTTTCACCTTTTGCAACTTGTAAGTGTAATTGACGTTCATTACTGTTGAGCTGTACCGTCTCAATAGAATCTTCAGAGTCCTCTTCGTCTTCCATTATATCATCATCGTCTTCTATGTCGGCCAATAAAATATCACCATTATCACTTTGGGTAGATGTTGCTGGTGTTAGTACTATACCGGGCATTTCTTCTAAAGGCTGTAGTTGCTCTTGTTCGGTTTGTGTCAACAGTTCGTTGACATTCATAGATTCAGTATTGACTTCAAGTTGCGATTCGACTCCTTGATCTAGTTCTTTTTGGCTTAAAACATTTTCTGTTATAACGCTTTGACGGTTGACTGCAGTAGTATTTTCTTGATAAGTTTCCTGTCCCTGAACTTGTGTTTTTAGTAGACTGTTGTTGAAAGATACTTTTTTTGTTGTCTGTTTCTGTACTTGAGTTTGTTGTGTCAGCAATTCACTGCTATTCATAGATTCTGTGTGAACTTCAATATCTCTTTCTACTTCTAAATCAAAGTCTTGATTTTCATTTGGATTTTCTGTTAACAATTCGTTTGCATTCATAGATTCTGTATTCACAGCCATTTGCGATAATTCCTCTTGTTCGAATTCCTCAGACTCAGATACTCTAAGTCTTGGACTTTTACTGCGCAATTCCTCCCGCCGCCAATAGTCCAATGATAAAATATTCTCCTTCAATTGAAAAGCCCATTCTTCTTTTCTTGTTTTTAGTATCTCCTCTTCATCGTAGAGAATAGACGGTTTCATTTTATTCACCGCCTTGGCCAGCATACGCAAACGATCACGTTCCGACCATCTTTGATAGCGTCCACTTTCTGTGAACACTATACGATACTCATTGGCCACATTCCATCGCCACATATTCACACGACATTTGTGTTTTAAACATAATTCTTTTAGTTCGGCTTCCGTGAAGACTCTTTTTAAATCCTCTTTGGTAGGTTTCTGTAAATATATTTTTGTATTACTAGTTATTTGCAAATATTTAATTTATAAACTTACACTTAATTCCAGATAATGATTGTATACTTTGCTATTATTTTCATCATTCATTGCAATTCTTTTATTTTATTAGTTTTCTTTTTTATTGTGGCGCTCAAAACAACTTCTTTTTCTGTTGGTTTATGTTTTTCATCTAAATGTCAGATAAAAACTGTTTGTTTACATATTTCAGGGTTGTATTTTAGAGTAACTTGTTGGTAAGGTTGCATTTTAAGGGGATTATTTGAAAATTGAAAATTTGTACAAAATACAAATAGAAAATGATATTCGAAATATCGGAAAAATATAAACTTTATATATTTTATAATCAATTGGCTTCGAGCTCGAAAACTAGTCTAGAATATGAATTAGACTATAGACTAGATTATAGACTAGACTATAGACTAGACTATAAACTAGACTATAGACTAGACTATAGACTAGACTATAGACTAGACTATAGACTAGACTATAGACTAGACTATAGACTAGACTATATACTAGACTATAGACTAGACTATAGACTAGACTATAGACTAGACTATAGACTAGACTATAGACTAGACTATAGACTAGACTATAGACTAGACTATAGACTAGACTATAGACTAGACTATAGACTAGACTATAGACTAGACTATAGACTAGACTATAGACTATACTATAGACTAGACTATAGACTAGACTATAGACTAGACTATAGACTAGATTATAGACTAGACTATAGACTAGACTATAGACTAGACTATAGACTAGACTATAGACTAGACTATAGACTAGACTATAGACTAGACAATAGACTAGACTATAGACTAGACTATAGACTAGACTATAGACTAGACTATAGACTAGACTATAGACTAGACTATAGACTAGACTATAGACTAGACTATAGACTAGACTATAGACTAGACTATAGACTAGACTATAGACTAGACTATAGACTAGACTATAGACTAGACTATAGACTAGACTATAGACTAGACTATAGACTAGACTATAGACTAGACTATAGACTAGACTATAGACTAGACTATAGACTAGACTATAGACTAGACTATAGACTAGACTATAGACTAGACTATAGACTAGACTATAGACTAGACTATTGACTAGACTATAGACTAGACTATAGACTAGACTATAGACTAGACTATAGACTTTCTGTGAACACTATACGATACTCATTGGCCACATTCCATCGCCACATATTCACACGACATTTGTGTTTTAAACATAATTCTTTTAGTTCGGCTTCTGTGAAGACTCTTTTTAAATCCTCTTTGGTAGGTTTCTGTAAATATATTTTTGTATTAGTTATTTGCAAATATTTAATTTATAAACTTACACTTAATTCCAGATAATGATTGTATACTTTGCTATTATTTTCATCATTCATTGCAATTATTTTATTTTATTAGTTTTCTTTTTTATTGTGGCGCTCAAAACAACTTCTTTTTCTGTATGTTTATGTTTTTCATCTAAATGTCAGATAAAAACTATTTGTTTACATATTTCAGGGTTGTATTTTAGAGTAACATGTTGGTAAGGTTGCATTTTAAGGGCATTATTTGAAAATTGAAAATTTGTACAAAATACAAATAGAAAATGATATTCGAAATATCGGAAAAATATAAACTTTATATATTTTATAATCTATTGGCTTCGAGCTCGAAAACTAGTTTAGAATATGAATTAGACTATAGACTAGACTATATACTAGACTATAGACTAGATTATAGACTAGACTATAGACTAGACTATAGACTAGACTATAGACTAGACTATAGACTAGACTATAGACTAGACTAGACTATAGACTAGACTATAGACTAGACTAGACTATAGACTAGACTAGACTATAGACTAGACTATAGACTAGACTATAGACTAGACTATAGACTAGACTATAGACTAGACTATAGACTAGACTATAGACTAGACTATAGACTAGACTATAGACTAGACTATAGACTAGACTATAGACTAGACTATAGACTAGACTATAGACTAGACTATAGACTAGACTATAGACTAGACTATAGACTAGACTATAGACTAGACTTTAGACTAAACTATAGACTAGACTATAGACTAGACTATAGACTAGACTATAGACTAACTATAGACTAGACTATAGACTAGACTATACAACTAGACTATAGACTAGACTATAGACTAGACTATAGACTAGACTATAGACTAGACTATAGACTAGACTATAGACTAGACTATAGACTAGACTATAGACTAGACTATAGACTAGACTATAGACTAGACTATAGACTAGACTATAGACTAGACTATAGACTAGACTATAGACTAGACTATAGACTAGACTATAGACTAGACTATAGACTAGACTATAGACTAGACTATAGACTAGACTATAGACTAGACTATAGACTAGACTATAGACTAGACTATAGACTAGACTATAGACTAGACTATAGACTAGACTATAGACTAGACTATAGACTAGACTATAGACTAGACTATAGACTAGACTATAGACTAGACTATAGACTAGACTATAGACTAGACTATAGACTAGACTATAGACTAGACTATAGACTAGACTATAGACTAGACTATAGACTAGACTATAGACTAGACTATAGACTAGACTATAGACTAGACTATAGACTAGACTATAGACTAGACTATAGACTAGACTATAGACTAGACTAGACTAGACTATAGACTAGACTATAGACTAGACTATAGACCAGACTATAGACTAGACTATAGACTAGACTATAGACTAGACTATAGACTAGACTATAGACTAGACTATAGACTAGACTATAGACTAGACTATAGACTAGACTATAGACTAGACTATAGACTAGACTATAGACTAGACTATAGACTAGACTATAGACTAGACTGTAGACTAGACTATAGACTAGACTATAGACTAGACTATAGACTAGACTATAGACTAGACTATAGACTAGACTATAGACTGACTATAGACTAGACTATAGACTAGACTATAGACAAGACTATAGACTAGACTATAGACTAGACTATAGACTAGACTATAGACTAGACTATAGACTAGACTATAGACTAGACTATAGACTAGACTATAGACTAGACTATAGACTAGACTATAGACTAGACTATAGACTAGACTATAGACTAGACTATAGACTAGACTACTAGACTAGACTATACTATAAACTAGACTATAGACTGTAGACAAGACTATAGACTGTAGACAAGACTATAGACTGTAGACAAGACTATAGACTAGACTATAGACTAGACTATAAACTAGACTATAGACTAGACTATAGACTAATGACTAGATTATAGCCCAGACTAGACCAGACTATAGACTAAACTATAGACTAGAAAATAGACTAGACTATATACGATGGGCGTTCCTTATTATGATTCAGTCTGACTGTTGGCGCTTTCTGAACTACTCGACAATATAGTGCAACGGTATCATAGCAACTACAGCTAGAAATCTATTTATATTTCGTAAATATTTAAAATTAAAAAAAAGCTAAAGTTTACTTCTGCCAAAATGATATCCTGCATTTGTTTGGGACCCAAAAGATCGGGAAAAACTCATTTACTAAAAGCATTACAGGATAACGACTCCATTGATGAGAATAGCTATTCAACTCCCACTAATGGCACCAGTATATATCACATAGTATTTCCCACAAAAAATCAACATGATGAGGGTATGAAACCAAAACCACCACCTCCTGCTGTAGATGCGGATGGTAAAGCGCTTGATGGAGAGCAGTCGAAAAAGAAAAAATCCTTACCGCCTCTTAAGTCTATACGTATTTTGGAAATTGGCGGCAGTATGGCACCCATATGGCGTCAATATTTTAATGATGTCAAGAAACTAATGTATGTCGTTGATACTGCTAATTTATGTCAAATATCCGCAGCAGGTAAATGGAATTTTTGTGATGAAGAAAGAGTATTCGTGTTATTGGAGTTATATTAAATTGTAGGTGTTTTATTTTATTCGATTTTGGCTGAGCCTCGTATACAGAAGGTGCGTATTTTATTGGTTCTTTCGAAAATGGACTATGCCTATCGTCAGATGCGTAATGAGGCATTACTAATGCTACAAATGTCCAAATTGGAAAAGGAAATAAGACAACGGGTGACTATAATCGAAGTTAGTCCTGTTAGTAAAATGGGGTTGGATGACATTTATAATTGGTTAAAAATACCTTAAGTAAACCAAAAATATGTGAAAATAAATTTGTTAACAATTTCTTAAAATTGCTATTTTATATAAAATCAAAAAAAAAATTAATTTTCAACGATTTAGGAAGGTGTTTTAGTTGAGCAATGGAGCTTGATCTGCGATTGGTTGTATTTCTGAAAAATAAATCTTTAAACTGAACTAGAATTCAACTAGAACTGAACTAGAACTTAACTAGAACTGAACTAGAACTGAACTAGAACTGAACTAGAACTGAACTAGAACTGAACTAGAACTGAACTAGAACTGAACTAGAACTGAACTAGAACTGAACTAGAACTGAACTAGAACTGAACTAGAACTGAACTAGAACTGAACTAGAACTGAACTAGAACTGAACTAGAACTGAACTGAACTAGAACTGAACTGAACTAGAACTGAACTAGAACTGAACTAGAACTGAACTAGAACTGAACTAGAACTGAACTAGAACTGAACTAGAACTGAACTAGAACTGAACTAGAACTGAACTAGAACTGAACTAGAACTGAACTAGAACTGAACTAGAACTGAACTAGAAACTGAACTAGAACTGAACTAGAACTGAACTGAACTAGAACTGAACTAGAACTGAACTAGAACTGAACTAGAACTGAACTAGAACTGAACTAGAACTGAACTAGAACTGAACTAAAACTGAACTAGAACTGAACTATATTATTTTGGTTAGAACTTCTAAAATCGAATAGGTATAGTTTTTGATTCCAACAATTTCTTTATTAAAACCAACAAATATAACTGTTATAGAGATATGAAACTTATTTTCTACTTAAAGTTTATAGTGATCATCCATATATTTTAAATTATTTTCAATTTCTATTGAATCAACCAAAACATCCTTAGCAGCATTCAGGTACGATTTCGCTTTTAAAACATCACCAGTATAAGCGGCTAAAACAGCCAAATTATTCAAAGCGGCGCCATTACGAGCATCGGAAGTGAGACAAAGCTGTAGGCAACGTTTGGCTAAATTAAAATCGCCTGTAGTCTGAAATTTATGAAACAAAGATTAGTTGGATCGATTTATAAGCTTTTTAGTAGGGTACTTACAATGGCCACAAAACTGAGATTGTACCAAATGTCGGCTTTTTGTTCTGAGGATTTTGAGGCTGCTAAAGCTCTTTGGAAACAAGGCAGAACAAGATCAATTTGCCCACCATAAAGGCAGCATAAAGCAATATTACAATACAACTCAGCGGAATGGACACCCAAGGAAAGAATACGTCTGAAAAGTAGTTATTACTTTGGTGATAAATTCAAGAGTTATCTTCTACGAACCTATAATACATCAAAGCCATTTCGGGATTATTATCGTAAAAATAGTTTAAGGCTATACAGGCCAAAGCTTCAATATTTATTGGATTTAATTTGGATATTAAACGATACATTTGCATGGCATCTTCCGGTTTAGCCTGCTCATCCAATAATCTACCCTGTTCGATGCGAAAAGTAACATCAAATGGATGTCTATCCACTGCGGTCTGTATAAGATCCATGGCCCGATCTGTTTGATCTAGGCGCTGATACAAACGTGCCAGTAAAATATAAGTATCGGGATGTGGAAAAGCATTCAGCGATTGCTGTAAATATACTTCAGCTTTACGTGGATATTTCAAAGCTAAAAGACAACGTCCCATTTGTTGCTGCCACCACCATTCGTCACAATTGGCCAGGGAACGTAGTGAGGCGGACGAACCACGTTTTTGCTTATGAACTTCCATGACAGCTTCACACAAAGAGTAGGCTTTCAAGACATCAGCTTCATGATAGTAAAGAAATTGAAAGAGAGCTTTGACTAAAACTTTGCGCTCTGCATAAATGGTGGGGTTGAGGCGTGAGGCCTGATATAAAGGAGCGGTTGCATCTCCTATATTAAAAGCAGCTGCAGAGCTGGCCCGTACACGTGAAGCGGTGCCACAACGTGAAGCTGGACGGCTACCTAGAGAGGAACCCGGTCGGCTTAAGCTACTAGTACCAGGACGCACCTAATTTGGAATTATTTGTATTTTCAATTAAATTAATTACTTCATTATAAACAGAATAGTTTACCATGCCCGATGTTGGTCTAGACGACAAGCTAGAAGTTAACATTCTTTTACTTATACTCTCAGCTGTTCCTATTGCTTTACGCTGGTGCAAACTAGAAGCTGTAGAGCCCCTTAAATTACTCGTACTGGGTCTCGGAACAAATGCGGTTTTTATCGAAGTTCCGGGCCTTGCTGTTGTGGCAATACGCTCAAATTCCACTTCCTCGTTTACTAGAAAGACAGCAAAAAAACCAAAATACTAAATTCCAAGTTAAATACGGGTATCAACCACACCACATCTTAAACATTTCATTTTAAACTCCTAAAAAAAATCTAAAAAAATCATACACTCTTACATATTTTTACATTTACAAAATCCAAACTTATTTTGTTTTTCTTTGTGCAACAAAAAAACCTTTAAGATATCCAACCATTCAAGGTGATTGAACACAATGGAATGTGGGCAGTACTAAACAAGATACTATGAGCTTAAATATGTACATAGTTTCGGATGCGTGTCTTAAACCTTTATTTTTTATATTTTCGTTTCAATATTATTTTTCCTCTTCTTACAGCATGATCATGATGATCATGCCATCAATGCACTTACTAGAATTACACTATGGGGATAATGATAATACCCTGCGTACTGCTTGAGAATGTATTATGATCGAAAGTCTGAAACTTAATCAAAACTTAAAACGAAATCGATTCGACATCGAGCGAACTAGAACTGAACTAGAACTGAAATAGACTGAAACTGAACTTGAACTGAACTTGAACTGAACTTGAACTGAACTTGAACTGAACTTGAACTGAACTTGAACTGAACTTGAACTGAACTTGAACTGAACTTGAACTGAACTTGAACTGAACTTGAACTGAACTTGAACTGAACTTGAACTGAACTAGAACTGAATTAGAACTGAACAAGAACTGAATTAGAACTGAACAAGAACTGAACTAGAACTGAACTAGAACTGAACTAGAACTGAACTAGAACTGAACTAGAACTGAACTAGAACTGAACTAGAACTGAACTAGAACTGAACTAGAACTGAACTAGAACTGAACTAGAACTGAACTAGAACTGAACTAGAACTGAACTAGAACTGAACTAGAACTGAACTAGAACTGAACTAGAACTGAACTAGAACTGAACTAGAACTGAACTAGAACTGAACTAGAACTGAACTAGAACTGAACTAGAACTGAACTAGAACTGAACTAGAACTGAACTAGAACTGAACTAGAACTGAACTAGAACTGAACTAGAACTGAAACTGAACTGAACTGAACTAGAACTGAACTAGAACTGAACTAGAACTGCATTAGAACTGCATTAGAACTGAACTAGAACTGAACTAGAACTGAACTAGAACTGAACTAGAACTGAACTAGAACTGAACTAGAACTGAACTAGAACTGAACTAGAACTGAACTAGAACTGAACTAGAACTGAACTAGAACTAGAACTGAACTAGAACTGAACTAGAACTGAACTAGAACTGAACTAGAACTGAACTAGAACTGAACTAGAACTGAACTAGAACTGAACTAGAACTGAACTAGAACTGAAATAGAACTGAACTAGAACTGAACTAGAACTGAACTAGAACTGAACTAGAACTGAACTAGAACTGAACTAGAACTGAACTAGAACTGAACTAGAACTGAACTAGAACTAAACTAGAACTGAACTAGAACTGAACTAGAACTGAACTAGAACTGAACTAGAACTGAACTAGAACTGAACTAGAACTGAAATAGAACTGAACTAGAAATGAACTAGAACTGAACTAGAAATGAACTAGAACTGAACTAGAACTGAACTAAAACTGAACTAGAACTGAACTAGAACTGAACTAGAACTGAACTAGAACTGAACTAGAACTGAACTAGAACTGAACTAGAACTGAACTGAAACTGAACTAGACTGAACTAGAACTGAACTAGAACTGAACTAGAACTGAACTAGAACTGAACTAGAACTGAACTAGAACTGAACTAGAACTGAACTAGAACTGAACTAGAACTGAACTAGAACTGAACTAGAACTGAACTAGAACTGAACTAGAACTGAACTTCAGAACTGAACTAGAACTGACTAGAACTGAACTAGAACTGAACTAGAACTGAACTAGAACTGAACTAGAACTGAACGAGAACTGAACTAGAACCTGAACTAGAACTGAACTAGACTGAACTAGAACTGAATAGAACTGAACTAGAACTGAACTAGAACTGAACTAGAACTGAACTAGAACTGAACTAGAACTGAACTAGAACTGAACTAGAACTGAACTAGAACTGACTAGAACTGAAACTAGAACTGAACTAGAACTGAACTAGAACTGAACTAGAACTGAACTAGAACTGAACTAGAACTGAACTAGAACTGAACTAGAACTGAACTAGAACTGAACTAGAACTGAACTAGAACTGAACTAGAACTGAACTAGAACTGAACTAGAACTGAACTAGAACTGAACTAGAACTGAACTAGAACTGAACTAGAACTGAACTAGAACTGAACTAGAACTGAACTAGAACTGAACTAGAACTGAACTAGAACTGAACTAGAACTGAACTAGAACCGAACTAGAACTGAACTAGAACTGAACTAGAACTGAACTAGAACTGAACTAGAACTGAACTAGAACTGAACTAGAACTGAACTAGAACTGAACTAGAACTGAACTAGAACTGAACTAGAACTGAACTAGAACTGAACTAGAACTGAACTAGAACTGAACTAGAACTGAACTAGAACTGAACTAGAACTGAACTAGAACTGAACTAGAACTGAACTAGAACTGAACTAGAACTGAACTAGAACTGAACTAGAACTGAACTAGAACTGAACTAGAACTGAACTAGAACTGAACTAGAACTGAACTAGAACTGAACTAGAACTGAACTAGAACTGAACTAGAACCTGAACTAGAACTGAACTGGAACTGACTGAACTAGAACTGAACTAGAACTGAACTAGAACTGAACTAGAATTGAACTAGAATTGAACTAGAACTGAACTAATGCCAGAACCTATGTGTACAAATAAACTTAACATATTTTCTTAGCATCCGAGCCATAGTGCATTATTGTTGCCTTCATACACTCGTTCATACAACCCCATAGTCCATTTTCAGTTTTATACATCGACGTGTCCACTAATATCAAGACGCGGCGGTTGCTGTAATGTGGTTAAGAAGAAGTACCAAGCTGAAGAATACAAGCGAACGAACCAAACAACGAAGGAACTAAAGATGAATGCAAGAAAGGAGCAGAAAAGAAAAACATCTTGTGGACATATATTATACATATATTCAAACATACAACTGGAAGCATACAATTTTATACCCTTCACCTTAGTGGGAAGGGTATATATTATATTATCATTCCATTTGTAACTTATAGACAATAATTTTACGGAGTCGATTAGGCCATGTCCTACTGTATGTTTGCTGAAATCTATTTCATGAATGCCCCAGGTGTATCTCTTACCAAGGCAACCGCTGAATATTTCGTAAAAAAAATTTATGGAAAATTGTGCAGGATTGGGAATAAGTAAAAAAAAAGATAATAATTTAAAAAAGCATATTACTTATGGTGAAGGGTTTATACTATTCGGCGCAGCCGAATATAGAACTCGTTGTAATTTTATTTGAAAATTCTTCTTTCAATTCTGCTCACTTGAGTTCTTAAAGTTGCATATTATTACATGGAATGTCGGTCATATTGTTGGATTAAATTCTTCTTGAGGTTAAGGTTTATGTATTATCATCATAATTAAGTATAAGTGTTTCACAATTCTTGTGTGTGTTTCTTGATGTTAGTGTTGTGTTGTCCATGCAGCACATGTATTACTCCTTCTACTTACTACTTGCCTCCTAACATGTTTTGTTAGTTCGTTTTACTCGCAAATACTATAATGTACTAGTTGTTTGAATGTGGTACTGGTCGATTGATGTAGGTAATGTTTGTTGTTGGTTTTTCTGTGATGATTTTGTTGCTTACAACATAGTAGAGATTCTATTACTCTGTGGTTTATTTTTTAATAACCCTCCTGTACGTTCGTTCACATCGTGATGACTTCTTAGATTTGTTATTTGATGCGCTTGACCATTCTTGTGAGTTGTTTTTTTTTTTGTATTATTATTTGTCACAAAAATTGTATTAGTTCGTTTTTTAAGTTGTATTAACTTGGCTGATATGATGTTACTGTTGGCCATAACTTTACATTAGAATGTCATTTTGTTGGCCATATTTTAATATTATTTTGTTTATGAATTCTATTTTATGTCGGTGATTCGATGTAATGAAAGACATTTTTCATATGACATTTTAGAGAAGAATATTTATGATGAAATTTACTCTTTATTTGATAATTTGTTGTTAAGAATTTAAAAGGATATTGGGAATGTACGAGAATTGTTAAACAGGAATTGAGTTACATTATTTGATAGAAATTACTGACCTTAAATTGATACTACTACTGCCAAGAAGATTTCCACAACACTACAACCTACGGCATCTCATATAAAGCTTTAGCCGCAGAATTCGTTTTGGAATAATATCCGGTCGAACCATTTCTACGTTTGGAAATGTTCTCATAGTTTATTGGGAAGCTGAACTAAACTAGAACTGAACTAGAACTGAACTAGAACTGAACTAGAATTGAACTAGAACTGAACTAGAACTGAAATAGAACTGAACTAGAACTGAACTAGAACTGAACTAGAACTGAACTAGAACTGAACTAGAACTGAACTAGAACTGAACTAGAACTGAACTAGAACTGAACTAGAACTGAACTAGAACTGAACTAGAACTGAACTAGAACTGAACTAAACTGACTAGAACTGAACTAGAACTGAACTAGAACTGAACTAGAACTGAACTAGAAACTGAACTAGAACTGAACTAGAACTGAACTAGACTGAACTAGAACTGAACTAGAACTGAACTAGAACTGAACTAGAACTGAACTAGAACTGAACTAGAACTGAACTAGAACTGAACTAGAACTGAACTAGAACTGAACTAGAACTGAACTAGAACTGAACTAGAACTGAACTAGAACTGAACTAGAACTGAACTAGACTGAACTAGAACTGAACTAGAACTGAACTAGAACTGAACTAGAACTGAACTAGAACTGAACTAGAACTGAACTAGAACTAGAACTGATAGAACTGAACTAGAACTGAACTAGAACTGAACTAGAACTGAACTAGAACTGAACTAGAACTGAACTAGAACTGAACTAGAAACTGAACTAGACTGAACTAGAACTGAACTAGAACTGAACTAGAACTGAACTAGAACGGAACTAGAACTGAACTAGAACTGAACTAGAAACTGAACTAGAACTGAACTAGAACTGAAATAGAACTGAACTAGAACTGAACTAGAACTGAACTAGAACGGAACTAGAACTGAACTAGAACTGAACTAGAACTGAACTAGAACTGAACTAGAAAGAACTAGAACTGAACTAGAACTGAACTAGAACTGAACTAGAACTGAACTAGAACTGAACTAGAACTGAACTAGAACTGAACTAGAACTGAACTAGAACTGAACTAGAACTGAACTAGAACTGAACTAGAACTGAACTAGAACTGAACTAGAACTGAACTAGAACTGAACTAGAACTGAACTAGAACTGAACTAGAACTGAACTAGAACTGAACTAGAACTGAACTAGAACTGAACTAGAACTGAACTAGAACTAGAACTGAACTAGAACTGAACTAGAAACTGAACTAGAACTGAACTAGAACTGAACTAGAACTGAACTAGAACTGAACTAGAACTGAACTAGAACTGAACTAGAACTGAACTAGAACTGAACTAGAACTGAACTAGAACTGAACTAGAACTGAACTAGAACTGAACTAGAACTGAACTAGAACTGAACTAGAACTGAACTAGAACTGAACTAGAACTGAACTAGAACTGAACTAGAACTGAACTAGAACTGAACTAGAACTGAACTAGAACTGAACTAGACTGAACTAGAACTGAACTAGAACTGAACTAGAACTGAACTAGAACTGAACTGAACTGAACTAGAACTGAACTAGAACTAGAACTGAACTGAACTGAACTGAACTAGAAATGAACTGAACTAGAACTGAACTGAACTAGAACTAGAACTGAGCTGAACTAGAACTGAGCTGAACTAGAACTGAGCTGAACTAGAACTGAGCTGATCTAGAACTGAGCTGAACTAGAACTGAGCTGAACTAGAACTGAGCTGAACTAGAACTGAGCTGAACTAGAACTGAACTAGAACTAAACTAGAGCTGAACTAGAACTGAACTAGAACTAAACTAGAGCTGAAACTAGAACTGAACTAGAACTGAACTAGAACTGAACTAGAACTGAACTAGAAACTGAACTAGAACTGAACGAACTGAAACTAGACTGACTAGAACTGAACTAGAACTGAACTAGAACTGAACTAGAACTGAACTAGAACTGAACTAGAACTGAACTAGAACTGAACTAGAACTGAACTAGAACTGAACTAGAACTGAACTAGAACTGAACTAGAACTGAACTAGAACTGAACTAGAACTGAACTAGAACTGAACTAGAACTGAACTAGAACTGAACTAGAACTGAACTAGAACTGAACTAGAACTGAACTAGAACTGAACTAGAACTGAACTAGAACTGAACTAGAACTGAACTAGAACTGAACTAGAACTGAACTAGAACTGAACTAGAACTGAACTAGAACTGAACTAGAACTGAACTAGAACTGAACTAGAACTGAACTAGAACTGAACTAGAACTGAACTAGAACTGAACTAGAACTGAACTAGAACTGAACTAGAACTGAACTAGAACTGAACTAGAAAACTGAACTAGAACTGAACTAGAACTGAACTAGAACTGAACTAGAACTGAACTAGAACTGAACTAGAACTGAACTAGAACTGAACTAGAACTGAACTAGAACTGAACTAGAACTGAACTAGAAACTGAACTAGAACTGAACTAGAACTGAACTAGAACTGAACTAGAACTGAACTAGAACTGAACTAGAACTGAACTAGAACTGAACTAGAACTGAACTAAACTGAACTAGAACTGAACTAGAACTGAACTAGAACTGAACTAGAACTGAACTAGAACTGAACTAGAACTGAACTAGAACTGAACTAGAACTGAACTGAACTAGAACTAGAACTGAACTAGAACTGAACTAGAACTGAACTAGAACTGAACTAGAACTGAACTAGAACTGAACTAGAACTGAACTAGAACTGAACTAGAACTGAACTAGAACTGAACTGAACTAGAACTGAACTAGAACTGAACTAGAACTGAACTAGAACTGAACTAGAACTGACTAGAACTGAACTAGAACTGAACTAGAACTGAACTAGACTGAACTAGAACTGAACTAGAACTGACCTAGTAACTAACTGAACTAGAACTGAACTAGAACGAACTAGAACGAACTAGAACTGAACTAGAACTGAACTAGAACTGAACTAGAACTGAACTAGAACTGAACTAGAACTGAACTAGAACTGAACTAGAACTGAACTAGACTGAACTAACTGAACTTGAACTGAATTAGAACTGAACTAGAACTGAACTAGAACTGAACTAGAAACTGAACTAGAACCGAACTAGAACTAAACTAGAACTGAACTAGAACTGAACTAGAACTGAACTAGAAATACACGCTCAGAATCTAAACTATGTAGTTAACCAAATATTTTTAAATAAACTTCCTTATTTAAATGTTAGCGCTACTAAACACTCTTCTCAATTTACTCCAAGAAGAAACTCCTTCTAAATTATAATGAAAAAACACTTAAAAACGTCTTGTAAAAGTACTTACATAAATACAAACATAAAAAAAGGAAATCCTTGAAACATTCAATGAAAAAAAAAACAAGCAACCATTACTTACCGGCATCATCTGCATCATTGGTTTCCAAGTCCATCAATATAGATGCGTTGCGTAAGTGCGCGCATTTTAATTGCCAAACGCCTTCCATCATCCACGTGGGGCATGATGCTAAACGATGATGACGACGACGTTGAAGAAGAAAATTGTTGTAGAAATTGGTTAGCAATTGTTGTTGCAGTTGTCGAAGTAGAAGACGAAGAAGATGAAGAAACATTGTTGCCATAAATGCCACGTTGGCGTCCACCCTGCCTGACGGCCATGCGTTGCAAATTGCTACTGTATCTTTGAATGCTACTGTTGTTACTTATACCGGCACTGGTAGTACTAACACCAATACCACCACTACTACTGCCATAGCTATTGTTCAATAACAACTCTTCACCACCACTACCGCCAACTGTTGCTGTACCATTACCATTTCCTCTTCTTCATCCGGTGGTGTATTAAACATTTGGACATTATTTTCGTGACCTGCTTGTAACATTGCATTGCACACCTCAACACATTTTTCATAATTTCGACGTCGATATAGCGAGACAGCCTAAAATATTGCAATTCCATGGTCGCCAAATTTTTCTATAGAAGCTTGAAGTGGTGAGAGCAGACCAGTAATATCAGCTAAAGAGTGGTAGTAGACGTGCCGATGTTGATGTTGTTGTTACTGCAATTCAACAATATTATTATCATCATTATTCATAACATTTGTTTTAAATTCTTTGGAATGTTGTTGCTGATGTTGTAGACAGTAGCCATCATAATTGTATGTTGTTTTTGTTTTTTATTCGTTTTTCTGTTTTTTTGGCGTCCTTTTGTCCGTCCTTCAATTCTTTTCGATATAAAAGAGGTTTTTTATCTAAAGTACACGGAAAGAAAGATATTTTAAACTTTGATAATCTTTCGGGTTGGCGCGTATATAATATCTAGACAAGGATCATATCATTAAAAGAGAGCAAGACTCGGTAGTACCGATCAAGTAAAAATTTGCTAATGCGAAGCAGAAACAAGAAGTTAGCTGAAATAGATCCCAAGCTTGGATCACATTGAAACTGAAATGGAACTGAACTAGAACTGAACTAGAACTGAACTAGAACTGAAACTAGAAACTGAACTAGAACTGAACCTAGAACTGAACTAGAACTGAACTAGAACTGAACTAGAACTGAACTAGAAACTGAACTAGAACTGAACTAGAACTGAACTAGAACTGAACTAGAACTGAACTAGAACTGAACTAGAACTGAACTAGAACTGAACTAGACTGAACTAGAACTGAACTAGAACTGAACTAGAACTGAACTAGAACTGAACTAGAACTGAACTAGAACTGAACTAGAACTGAACTAGAACTGAACTAGAACTGAACTAGAACTGAACTAGAACTGAACTAGAACTGAACTAGAACTGAACTAGAACTGAACTAGAACTGAACTAGAACTGAACTAGAACTGAACTAGAACTGAACTAGAACTGAACTAGAACTGAACTAGAACTGAACTAGAACTGAACTAGAACTGAACTAGAACTGAACTAGAACTGAACTAGAACTGAACTAGAACTGAACTAGAACTGAACTAAAACTGAACTAGAACTGAACTAGAACTGAAATAGAAACTGAACTAGAACTGAACTAGAACTGAATTAGAACTGAACTAGAACTGAACTAAACTGAACTAGAACTGAACTAGAACTGAACTAGAACTGAACTAGAACTGAACTAGAACTGAACTAGAACTGAACTAGAACTGAACTAGAACTGAACTAGAACTGAACTAGAACTGAACTAGAACTGAACTAGAACTGAACTAGAACTGAACTAGAACTGAACTAGAACTGAACTAGAACTGAACTAGAACTGAACTAGAACTGAACTAGAACTGAACTAGAACTGAACTAGAACTGAATAGAACTGAACTAGAACTGAACTAGAACTGAACTGAACTGAACTAGAACTGAACTAGAACTGAACTAGAAACTGAACTAGAACTGAACTAGAACTGAACTAGAACTGAACTAGAACTGAACTAGAACTGAAAGAACTGAACTAGAACTAAACTAGAACTGAACTAGAACTGAACTAGAACTGAACTAGAACTGAACTAGAAACTGAACTAGAACTGAACTAGAACTGAACTAGAACTGAACTAGAACTGAACTAGAACTGAACTAGAACTGAACTAGAACTGAACTAGAACTGAACTTATCTATGGTTCAAAAATTTAAATACATTTTTCGCAAAGGTCTGTTTTTTTTAACAGTGTATCTCTCGATCTCGGTTGCTAAATTTTCTCCCGCTTGACGTCCTTTTTTGTTATATTTTATTATTATTGCAGTTGTTTTTGTTGTTGTTCTTTCAAAAAGTCTTAAAATAAATTGTTGTTGCCTGCTACGTTTGATATTAATGTTATTATTTTGTTTTTGTGGTTCTTGTGGAATTTCAAGACCGGATGTTTGCGCGATTTCTGGTTCTTCTTCTTTGACTGTTGTGTTTTTTTTTCTTTTCTTACATTTTTCAAAAGTGTTCTTTTCTTTGCCTTTTTTGTAGCTTTTTTGGCTAAAATTCTTTTAGGGTTTCTTGGGTTTGGATTTGTTGTTGCAATTGTTGGTGTCGTAATTTTTATGTTGTTTTATTTTTGATTTTTTTTTTTTTTGGTTTAACTAATTATTTTCGTTTCAACACATTTTTAATTTGTTCTGTTTCTGAGAAAATAATTTATTGAAATTGGTTTTTCGTCTTTAGTTTACTTTTATTTTCACAATACGGAGGGTTTTATCGTTTATAAATGTTCTGGTCTTTAGTTTGTTGTTTTTCGTTGAACTACTGTCAAAATATTGGTTGTCATAGTAACTGATTTGAGACAAACAAATAAATGTAAATTGTCAATTACAGTTATTCGATTACTCGACTAGTTTGTTATGCTAAAAAATGTCCTTGAAAAGATTTTGAAAAATTCTGAACTGAACATTCCAATCTCATTTAAAAACAAAGTGTTTTCTACATTCCTGATTTTATCTCAATAATTTCAGCAATAAATTCTTTAAATATTTCTCTGGACATATTAAAAATTCCTTGTCGTCTAACAAGGCTGTCATAACTTTTGAAAAAATAATATTAATTAGATTTTATCGCTTTTGCTAAAATTTAATATTTTTCCATTCCACTCTTCAGCTTTTGCTAAAATTTAATATTTTCCATTCCACTCTCAGCTATTTCGCAGATGGCTTGGCCGAGTGGTTTTAAGTAGTGAATGCATTCTTGTTAAAATATAAAAAAAATATTAATGCGAATTTTTACTCATTAAAAATACTAGATAAGATAAAAAAGTTATTTGAGCCAAACAATTTGAACAGTCAGAATATGAAAATAACAAACATTATTACAAACACGAGGGTAATCATCAATGAACTCGTTTAATTGTTCGTCATACCCAACAGTTTCTAGGGACTGTTATCCTGTATCCTTTGTTTTGTGTTAAAAACACTTTCAAAGTTGATTTCAGTTTTTAATCGATTGTTTAAATGCCATAAGCATTTTGTGACCCCGATGTCTACACGATTTCGATTTAAATATTAAGCAATATTTGTTTATATTATTAAATTTATCTTAAAGCTATTATCTGTCAATTACCTCTAAACTCAGACCAAAAATTTAAAAAACTATTTTTTTCTGCCCACACTATCCACTGATTTCAACACCTCATCTGGTGGTATGCGACCAAATAAACCTTCATCGAAAGTGATAATTTATTCATGAAAATGTTTTCTTTTGCGAGTGAGTATGCAAACTCAAACAATTGACAAAATTTTTGGCATCTCAATGTTATTAAGCATAAACAGACAAAAATTTCCATCTTAAGAAGCTGTCACCAAAACTGTCAATTGCAAAGTGTCAGAGCTTTAAAAGTAATTATTCAAGATGAAGAAGTTGACCCTCCCAAATATGTATAAAAAATAATAATTCAAAATCGTTGTCGCAACAGTTCTAGTTCAATTCTAGTTTAGTTCTAGTTTAGATCTAGTTCAGTTCTAGTTTAGTTCTAGTTCAGTTTTAGTTCAGTTCTAGTTCAGTTCTAGTTCAGTTCTAGTTCAGTTCTAGTTCGTTCTAGTTCAGTTCTAGTTCAGTTCAGTTCTAGTTCAGTTCTAGTTCAGTTCTAGTTCAGTTCTAGTTCAGTTCTAGTTCAGTTCTAGTTCAGTTCTAGTTCAGTTCTAGTTCAGTTCTAGTTCAGTTCTAGTTCAGTTCTAGTTCAGTTCTAGTTCAGTTCTAGTTCAGTTCTAGTTCAGTTCTAGTTCAGTTCTAGTTCATTTTTTAGTTCAGTTCTAGTTCAGTTCTAGTTCAGTTCTAGTTCAGTTTCTAGTTCAGTTCTAGTTCAGTTCTAGTTCAGTTCTAGTTCAGTTCTAGTTCAGTTCTAGTTCAGTTCTAGTTCAGTTCTAGTTCAGTTCTAGTTCAGTTCTAGTTCAGTTCTAGTTCAGTTCTAGTTCAGTTCTAGTTCAGTTCTAGTTCAGTTCTAGTTCAGTTCTAGTTCAGTTAGTTCAGTTCTAGTTCAGTTCTAGTTCAGTTCTAGTTCAGTTCTAGTTCAGTTCTAGTTCAGTCTAGTTCAGTTTAGTTCAGTTCTAGTTCAGTTCTAGTTCAGTTCTAGTTCAGTTCTAGTTCAGTTCTAGTTCAGTTCTAGTTCAGTTCTAGTTCAGTTCTAGTTCAGTTCTAGTTCAGTTCTAGTTCAGTTCTAGTTCAGTTCTAGTTCTAGTTCAGTTCTAGTTCAGTTCTAGTTCAGTTCTAGTTCAGTTCTAGTTCAGTTCTAGTTCAGTTCTAGTTCAGTTCTAGTTCAGTTCTAGTTCAGTTCTAGTTCAGTTCTAGTTCAGTTCTAGTTCAGTTCTAGTTCAGTTCTAGTTCAGTTCTAGTTCAGTTCTAGTTCAGTTCTAGTTCAGTTCTAGTTCAGTTCTAGTTCAGTTCTAGTTCAGTTCTAGCAGTTCTAGTTCAGTTCTAGTTCAGTTCTAGTTCAGTTCTAGTTCAGTTCTAGTTCAGTTCTAGTTCAGTTCTAGTTCAGTTCTAGTTCAGTTCTAGTTCAGTTCTAGTTCAGTTCTAGTCAGTTCTAGTTCAGTTCTAGTTCAGTTCTAGTTCAGTTCTAGTTCAGTTCTAGTTCAGTTCTAGTTCAGTTCTAGTTCAGTTCTAGTTCAGTTCTAGTTCAGTTCTAGTTCAGTTCTAGTAGTTCAGTTCTAGTTCAGTTCTAGTTCAGTTCTAGTTCAGTTCTAGTCAGTTCTAGTTCAGTTCTAGTTCAGTTCTAGTTCAGTTCTAGTTCAGTTCTAGTTCAGTTCTAGTTCAGTTCTAGTTCAGTTCTAGTTCAGTTCTAGTTCAGTTCTAGTTCAGTTCTAGTTCGTTCTAGTTCAGTTCTAGTTCAGTTCTAGTCAGTTCTATTCAGTCTAGTTCAGTTCTAGTTCAGTTCTAGTTCAGTTCGTTCAGTTCTAGTTCAGTTCTAGTTCAGTTCTAGTTCAGTTCTAGTTCAGTTCTAGTTCAGTTCAGTTCAGTTCTAGTTCAGTTCTAGTTCAGTTCTAGTTCAGTTCTAGTTCAGTTCTAGTTCAGTTCT